AAAGGAACAAAATGATTACACTGACGAAGAAGGTTAGAATCTATTAGAAAGAGAAAACATTTGCCTAAAGTAAAAAGAAGACGGAAATAAGGAAGTAGTATCGAAATAGGGAGCCTTGTGACACGCCTATTCCTTGTCCTCTTCTGTTTCCGCCTCCCGTTGCAACAATAACGAATTCCAAAGAAGAGGATTCGAACTGCCAATGAGGGAGTTAGTATTATACCGACAGTCGAACCAAGGCAGTAGGAGTGAGTGAAAAGGGGAGGAGAGAAACATTACCTCCTACCATCCTCATTTTCATGCGCGGGTCCATATCTCCTCCTCTTGTCTGCACTTGTGTGCGTGTGTTCGGTTCTACGATGCGACTATTTAAGTAAGGCTCTTTCGCTTCATCCTTCTCGTTTTTCTCCCTCTAAACACACCCGCTCGCTTGTGGCGCTAGAAGACGACACACCCTTTCAAAAATAAATGAATGAATGGAATTCAATAGGATAGGGAAGAACTTGTTTAGTAGGAAAATGTGCTAGCTAATCACTATTGACGGAAAGAAAAGATTTGACCTGCTTTTAATTTGAGTATCTTAGTCTTAATGCATTATATCTTATGCATTTCCACACGAGTTTCTTTCTTATAAACGGCATTTTTAGTGCCTGAGTTGACATCTGTGCTATTTTAAACAATAAAATTAATATCAACCGGCCTAGAAATCTTGCTAACGAAAAATATGCTTAAACAACAGGGATCGAACCTGTACTTCATTTTACCTTCAGGGAAACCACTCTGTTAGTTGAATTAGGTCATGACAATCCATGATAATGAAAATAGTAATATTAGACGTTTTCACATAAGAAAACACACGACATTCACTGACAAAGCAGCTAATCAGTTTAAATTTATAAAATCTTTCTCTTAAAACAATGTTTTCAGAAAAACTAGTTTTTTCAAGTCCACTAGCTGTTATCGCTCTTTCCAGTATTGATGGGAGTTTCCTTCCTAACCTTTTGTTTGAAATAATGTGGAACGCAAACATCTTGATTATATCATTATTTTGTCTTTTCAAATCCAGTAGCTGTTATCGCTCTTTCCAGTATTGATGGGAGTTTCCTTCCTAACCTTTTCTTAGAAGTAGTGTGGAACGACAACATCTTGATTATGTCATTATTTTCTCTTCGTTTTGCATGTGGTATCCCTTTTAGCTGCAAGTTGGAAGTCCTCAACTGATGTGGTTTCTGTTATTTGTTACATTTTTTTGTGATTTTGTACCACCAGTCTACGAGGTACGAAGAATTGTGCTCTTCGCTAACACCCACAGGCTTCAAACGCTCAAAGCAATTTTTAATCATTGATTTTAGAAAGCGGTTGCATACAGCTGTATATTTAGATATTTCTGAGCAGTTCTGGAACCGTTCAGAAATATCTAAAGTTTCAGCTGTATGCATGGCATCCACATGAAAGCCTCGATCTGACGAGGCTATAAGGCAAAGTCCAATTACATACTTAATATACAAATATTTCCATGGCTACTGTTCTGTTGATCTTCTTTTTTTTTTCTCTGGTGTCCCGACTACATAATTTTAAGTGTGTTCCTAGACTGGAATCTACAACCCATCCCTTTACCGTTGAAATAGTTAAATGTAACTGCCACTTCTACTCCAACAGCTTCTTTTCTCGTACTTCCCGCCTGTGGAATTCGCTTCCGTTTACTTGCTTCCCTGATAACTATAATCTTCAAAAATTTAAATGCAACGTCAATCGCCATCTCCTGATGACATCAACGCCGTGCATTTTTTATCCTTTCCACATCCCCCTTATACACAGTTTTTCTCTCATATTCACTCTGTGTAAACACCCTCCGAACCAGTGGCACTCGCGCCTTGCTTAGGGTGAAATGCTTAAGAAAAAATTAAAAAATATAAGCCTTCTCCTAGATTAATGGCTACTCAAGGCTAAGGAGAGCAGTTTAATTAATTATATTTAAATAAAGGTATGAAACCATTTCATCCTCGCAATCCCATAGCTGGTGGTAAGAATAAATAGATTCAAGCCTTTTCCAAGAACATTTATGCGAAAATGAACAACACAGTAGACGAGGGCGAAATTTGATCTCGGATCACCAACTAAGATAATGTAAAAATGATCCAACAGCAGCGTCAGCATTTCTGAATGATAAATGTTTTAATATATCAATTTATTTATTGATTTTGCCGAGATCAAGACTCAACAAAAAAAAAAAAAAAAAAAAAGGAACGGTGACTCGTATCCTTGAGTCTTAAAAGAACATTTGGCATGGACAGCGCCTTTACCGATATGGTCACGAAGCTCAATCAGTTAGTTATGCCCCATTTCGATACATGACTGATGAGGCAGATTTTTTCCCGGAGTAGGTTGCCAATTCTTTCTGCGGTAGACCAGTTGCCGGTCTGTCTTGCTATTTACCCAAGAAGAGGATTCATACTTTTCCAAAGGGTATTAGCACGTAAGTTAATGTATTGGATTCGATTGGAATTCGAACTCGGCTCTCCGATTCCTCAATCCGAGTCTCTATTCATTACTCCACCATGCTTCCGCGTTCAATCAATAAGCAAGAGAATTCCCATTTAATCATATAGCTACTTTTCCGTTTGTTTTTCCGCTTCATAATGTTTGTTTATGATTTACTACAAGCAAAATATGCCTTCCAAAAGCTAAGCAAAGTACTAAAAAACAAAATAATGTTGTTAGAAAGAAAGTTTGTTTTTATTTATTATTTTTTTTTTTTAAACATATCAACTTCAATGGGTTAATTAATTATAATAATATTTTTTTCAAAAATGTATTACTGGTAATATTTTTTCCCCAAAATGTATTGATGGTAATAATTATTTTCTTCAAAAAATCATTGCTGGTAATAATTTTTTCAAACAATGTATTGATGGTATCAAAACCTATTTTTACACTTTCATAGTGTTTTGACCCTAGTTCGATGGTTAACTATTTGGCCATAGCTAGGACAACTAACAGGTTCTACCACACCGGGTCAGGGTGGACCTGGCAACACCTGAAATTAAGAGGTGGTTCCACGCTCCTCAAAACCTCCTGATCAGATGCCTTGGTGTTGGATGTAGTTTATCGTCATACCCAGGACGCGGATGTAGTTTATCATCATACCCAGGACGCGGATGTAGTTTATCATCATACCCGGGGCGCGGATGTAGCTTATCATCATACCCAGGACGCTAGAAAGAAAGAAAACAGTGCTGAACTCTCATGAAATACCAGTTCTCTCATATGGTAGTAAATGCTAGAGAATCACCTAAGAGATGAAAGGAAAATTGGAGGCAACTGAAATGTGGTTCTACAGAAGGATGCTGAGAATAACATGGACAAAGAGCGTAAGCAACGAAAAAGTCTTAAGAGAATTGGAAACAAAAAGATTTACTCAGAATCAGAAAAAGACATCCGTAATTTTGGGGTATATAATTGAGGGCTTCGAGAATTTAATACTCACAAGGAATATCGGAGACAAAATGGACAAGGGATGGCAGCGGGTCTCCTATCTTGCGAGCTTGTGTGAATGGATTGCGGGGCGTTGCATTCATTACTTCGTTGGATTCAATAGTTACGCGCAGATATCCTTGACAAAAAGGTACGAATCCATCTATGCCACCCATCAGCGAGTTAAGTAACAGGATACACAGGGCTCTTCAGCCTTGGTTGGCAATCAGTTTAGGAGAAAGGTAACACTGAATTCTAAATCTGCTGTTTGGGGAGAACGAAACACATTAAGTGAACCAGTTTTCTGTATTCAGTTATTTCGAAAACTATGTACGGTTCTGCATAATACTTCATCATTATAATCAATCAGAGATAGAGCGTATGTAAATATAAAAGTGGACATTGAAGTCAACACCCAGAGGCGACAGTCTGCATTATGCTAAACGCAATCCTCAGGCGTTTAGCGTTTATCATGAAACAGACTGTCGCCTCTGAATGTTGACTTCAATGTCCACTCTTTCCGAAGTTTTGAATCCTTGCATAAATATTAAGAAATTTCTCTTAAGAACATATGAGGCTGGATAAAAAAACGGTACATTTCAATTACTCCCCCTACCGATACTTTTATAATACGCTTGCTTTGCTTCTCTTCCGCCTTCTTCTTCTCCTCCTTATTTCTTCATATCCTCCTCCTTCTCTTTCTATTAGACTCAACGTCGTGCGTTTGTTTCTTTCTTTTATTTTTTTAAAAAATAATATAGCGTTCATTAGTTTAAAAAAAAAAGCGTTAAGAGACGATTTGATAAAAATCGCCTGAAGATACCATAATGTTTAAACCAAGGTTGCAGATTTTAACTGATCTCCTGATTTTAAACTGTTATATATATATATATATATATATATATATATATATATATATATACCCAAGTATATAATTGGTGTACACGGAATGAATTCCAATAACCAACAATTACTATTCTTAAAAGAGTGCTCAATACAAAATAGAGCAGATATAATTATTTAAAAAAAATGTTATAATTTTTTTAAAAAATAATTATATATATATATATATATATATATATATATGAATGTAATGAGAATGAAAATTATATAAATTCTAACAGTCAGAGCATTAATTCAAAAGAGAGCACAATAACAAAAGTAGAGCAATAATTATTTATTATATTTTTTAAATACGGACAAAAGAACTTACTACAAAAATGCATTCTTGTTTCAATGCGGCTGATTCTCGAAAGGAGAGAAACAAAAATTTGGTTCTTGCCAGTGGAGATGCAGCGGCATCGAAACAAGAATGCATTTTTGTAGTAAGTTCTTTTGTCCGTATTTAAAAATTCTAAATAATATATATATATATATATATATATGTATGTGTGTGTGTGTGTGTGTGTTCAATACAAATATAAAAGTTGTTACTTCGCTTTTGCTGATGTTATATTCAGCACACCGACTCTTGAGTTTGGTAGGCGAATCTTTTGGTAATCGTTCGATTGATTCGAAAGTAGTTTTCAGGATATAATAGTGTATAAATATATATATATATATATATATATATATATATATATATATATATAGAGAGAGAGAGAGAGAGAGAGAGATAGATAGATAGATAGATAGATAGATAGATAGATAGATACAAAATGCGGTAAATGTATGACAAGAACGGGTAAACGAAAACGAGTAAATGAAAGAGATATAGGCTGAAAAATCTCACTTAAAAGAAAGAACGTTACAAAACCGGTAGAAATGTTGCCATTAGAAAGAAAAAGAGATTCAAATAAGGAGAAAAGGGTCATGAAAAGAAAGAAAGAAAGAAAGAAAGAAAGAAAGAAAGAAAGAAAGAATGAAAATAAAGAAAATATAAAAGAAAGAAAAAAGAAAGAATGAAAATAAAATAAAGAAAGAATAAAGAGAGAGAGAGAGAGAGAGAGAGAGAGAGAGAGAGAAGAATAAATCAAAGAGATATTGGCAGAAAAATCCCTTTGAAAAGGAAGAGAAAAATCGAAATCAGAAGAAGGAGAAGGTGAAAAAGGGAGAGGGGAAAAAAAGAAGAAAAGGAATTGGCGGAAGAAATGATAATTTTCCAGAGGTCTCTAATTATTTTTCTGATCAGGCAAAAAGCTGAGTAAATTCGTTAACGAAACAAACTGTTTTCTGTTGAATGTACTCAAGCTTCCATTATCACTCAATGAGGATGCAGACGACATAACTAAAAAGGAGACGACTAGTGTCAACGGGCAAGAGAAGGAGCCATAATGAAATAGGTTTGGCGTGAAGAGCTAATACTATAAATGGCGTTGTTTAACTTTGCTGTGTGCTTATCGCAGGAGTAGCAACTTCAGCAAACCCATGTTTGTTAGCATATATATTTGCTGAACAAATAGAAAAACAAAAAAGTAGAGAACTACAAAAGATATCAGTTGTTGACAGCAAAAGTAAATTAACGCGACAATGAAAAGACTAAACAAATCTGCCTCCCGCGCTTGTGTGTGTACAACAGATGATGAAGATAATAAATTTGTATAAGGATCTCATGAATTGGATTAGATAGACGTGTGTAATGGATAAGAAGTTGCCTAAAAGGCAAAGAGACAAGAATACCAGCTTACTTTATGTTGTATTTGATAACTGTAATTCTATCCTTCGTCTTAAAAGAAAAATAGGCAATCATGTTTCTCCACGACTTCCTATCCTTTGTAGCTCTTAGCAGAGTTTGTCCTTTCACCATCTCTTCGACTTCCGGTTTCCTTCTTGTCTTTAGTATGTCATGTGAGTGTTAAATTCTCCAACCTGTCTTTTCTCATTGTGTATTCTAAAAATTTCAACTGTTTCTTATTTTAAGTATAAGCGTCCTTTTTGTTTCTATTTTCCTTAAAACTTCCTCGTTGCTCAAATGTTAAATTCATGGTATCCTCAGCATCCTTCTGTAGAACTACATTTCTGTTGTTTCAAGTCTCTTCCTCATCTGTGAGGAGATTGTCCAGTATTCACTGCCATAAAGAGGGACTGATATAGTGTGCAACAGAAATACCCCCCCTACATATTCCCCCCAGAAATACCCGTCACATAATGGTAAGGCATCGGTGGCAATAGTGTCTCCATCAAGCTAATGTCTTAATATTATGTGGGGCGTATCTATGGGAAATATACGTGGGAGGTATTTCTGCCACACCTTGTATTATAATAACAGTTCAGTACTTTCTTCTTTGTTTCTAACGGCTTTTTCACATTTCTTAATACTTTGCTTAACTTTTGGATGGCACCTTTCGGTATCCCAATTCGCCTCCGGATTTCAGTTTTCCATTTTTCCATTCTGTGTTAATACACTTCCTAGATTGTTAAATTTTCCTTCATTTCTTAGTTCACATCTTGGCTCGTTTCTTTTTTCTGCCGACCATACGTTCAGTAATATCATAAACGATAAGATATTGTCTAAATAGCAAGGATTTTCTTTAATTGATTGATTCTTTTTCTACGGTTTTAATTGTCTGATTTTTCTACGGCTTTAACTGAATTATTCTTTTTCTACGGCTTTGATTGATTCCTTTTCGACAGTTTTAACTGATGGATTCTTTTTCCACGGCTTTAACTGATTGATTCTTTTTCTACGGCTTTAACTGATTGGTTCTTTTTCTACGGCTTCTGTGATTGATTCTTTTTCTACGGCTTTAATTGATTGTTTCTTTTTCTACGGCTTTAACTGAATTATTATTTTTCTATGGCTTTGGTTGATTCCTTTTCGACAGTTTTAACTGATTGATTCTTTTTCTACGGCTTTAACTGATTGGTTCTTTATCTACGGCTTCTGTGATTGATTCTTTTTCTACGGCTTTAATTGATTGTTTCTTTTTCTACGGCTTTAACTGATTGTTTCTTTTTCTACGGCTTTAATTGATTGTTTCTTTTTCTACGGCTTTAACTGATTGTTTCTTTTTCTACGGTTTATAAACTTTTGCAACGGTAGTAATTGTTTTAAAAACTTTTTGGAGATGATAATTATTTACTGATACAAATTCACGAATTAACCCGTGGCTGTGCGAGAAAAGGCGGATTCATACCTTTCTCAAGGGTATTTGCTCGTTAGTGAAGATAACGAACCTGACTGGACTTGGAACTCGGCTCTCGGATTTTCAATTCCATCTGTTATCTATTACACCCCCTTGCGCGTCCAAGTTTTCCCCACCTGATATGCCCACTCATCTAGGTACTGACCAAGCTCGATTTTGCTTAACCTCGGTGGACGTACAGGAACCGGTGTTTCAACGTTATAGGGCCGTTAAGCATAAGTAAAAAGAAAACAAAAAAGCCACCCATCTAGGTACTGATCAAGCTCGACTTTGCTTAACTTTGGTGGTCGTACGGGAATTAGTGTTTTTTGCGTGATATGGCAAAAAACCCCCAAAAAACAAACAAACAAAAAAATGAGAAAGAGGCACCCATCTAGGTACTGATCAAGTTCGACTTTACTTAACTTTGATGGTCGTACAGGAATTAGTGTTTTAGCGTGATATGGCAAACCCCCCCCCCAAAAAAAAACAAACAAAATGAGAAAGAGGCACCCATCTAGGTATTGTCCAGGCTCAACAGTGCTTAACTTCGGTGGTTGTACCGTTGTATTTGATAACTAATTATTTTGGCTTGGCCAAATATTTCGTTCTGTTTTTGTCACCTCATGACAGCATTGGGAATGTTTACTTTTACTTTTAAACGTAAAGATCGTTTTCACGGTGACAAATGTCATATCAGCTTTCATTTTTATCTTTATATTTTAGTCTGTAAAAATTTACTTTATAAATGGTCACTTTTATGGGTCTTACTTCTCTGCAGGAGATGTAGTGCGTATATTTTAGGCTTCATAGAAAGGGAAGTTTGACCAGGGTTACTTCACTTCTTTTAACTAATAGAGGGGTTCTGAACCGGGATCCATAAAGACCCTAGAGGTCTTTGTAACATTACTGGGGACCACACAAAACATAGCAAATTGGGGACCCACGGTAATATTTTACTGGTCCACAGAGCAATTTTAGTTCAGAACGGTTGTTACGACCGAGAATTTCTACACTAATCTATGCCATATTAAAATACTAAAAATATAAAAACAACTCTATAGCTAGCAGTAAACGAGATCAAGCGGTGTAAATTAGCGTCCCTTATACTTTACCGGATGTATTGATTGTAAAAGTTGAATAAAACTGAAAAGGATAAATAATAAATTTTCCATGGAATTTAGTTGTTAAATACAAGTTTATTTTCATTAAATTGGTTTTACTTCAAAATAAAGCTTATGCATTTTCTATTTCTATGATACAATTCTTAAAATTATCTATTAGTAAGAAATAAAATGAGTTATTTTTATCATCGAATGGTTATGGGTGTCTACGAAAAAACTAACATAAAAAGTGGTCCATGTTTTTAAAAAAAAGGTTGAGAACTTCTGATCTAATATAACTAGGAAAGGCTGAACCTACATCTCTATACTTTGCTCCATTCTTATACGTCTTGACTAAAAATGACACATCAATAACCTAGAAAGACTTCTAAAGGCTTGAACTGGGTGAGTGAGATCTTGGGATAACCAGTCTCCCATAACTACTTTACCTGCAAACATATTAGTAACAATATATAATATATATATAACATCTATCAGATCTATAAACAAAATAGGTATAAAAGGAAAAACTGTATCACATAATTTTACCTATACTGTAGAGTGATGCTTTACAAGCTAATCTCACAGAATAGTTTGGTAGTTTATCAAAGATTGCTCATTTATTGTGGCCTTGCGCCAGATGAAGCTTGGATTAGTAATTTTGCTAGTAGATTATTAATACTATTCTCTATGGCAAAGCTATCAGTCAGTTATACTTTAAATTTTCGATCAGTTTTTGGAATATTAGAATATTAACCCTACAGAATTAAGTCTTTTTCTTTATCTATATAAATAAACGTGAATGTCAGTGTGTCACTGTGTCACATATTTTCAACTTTACTCCAAGAGGCAGTAACCCAATATATCATACCATTTTGGAATCAGGCCGATTCCATGAGCAAATTAAAAACATTCTGGGCTGGATCCAGACCCGCAACCGTGAAAAACTGGATTTCCAAGTTTTCATTACACTGATTGTTTTCGACGATATTTTTACGTGATTTTTTGCGACGAATTTTTTTGTACGATTACAATTTTTATAACTTGGAAATAAATTTGGGAATAGTTGAAATTGAATAACTGAAAATAACTGCGAAATCTAGCGAAAGTCATCCATTAAACTAAAATAATTTTTTGTACGGAAAATAAGGACCTACGTACATTAAATTATCTTTAAATTATGTGACGACAGAAAAGTTGTCGTTGAATTTTTAAAAGGTAAGCTTAAATATTATGCAATACTTAAATGCAGCGAGTAATTTTGAGTCCTTCTGTAGTCTACTGTTGCCTATCGCATACGCCAGCAATATGCCTCGCAAAAAGAAATCTCCGCCAACAGCGGACCCGATTACAATCAAAAGAGCTAGGGTTGCGGTGAGGAAAAGAAAATCCCTTGCAAATGAAAACCCAGGTTAAACGGCAGCCAGGAGAGCATCCAATGCTGATGCAAAGACTAAGGCCCAATCAAGAGCTCTTCGTAGGAGTTACCTTAATTGCCACCCGATCGGGCGGGTTTTAATCTAGTACTAATATAAAGTGAATCATCTAAAATTAGTGTCAGCTCTACTGATTTTATTTCTCTTACCTCATTTGTCGATAACGTATGTGCAAAGAGGTAGTGTGACTGTGGCAATCATGACACTCGAGCAGGATGTAACACTGTTTGACTACGGAATAATTGTTGGGTTCAAAAAGATGGATCTCTTTCCGAGTTGGTAACTACGATAGGATTTGTCTTAGAATTACAATTCTTTTGCTAATATCTTTTTACTACACACCGGCAGGTCAGACTATTTTTATTCCACCAATCTAGTTTATAGTCTTAGACACTTATTTTCATATTCTGTGGTATTTATAGCGATAGAAAATGGTTTTATTGTTACTGGTTTAGATTGTCGTGCCTTTCTCCTCGATGTATGTATTTACAACAACATTTATGTTTTCAACATTATTTTGACGTAGGTGTATCAATAAATATATCGTCTAATGATGAAAAGGCATTTCTTTTGCATAAGATATATTTATAATATCCTTCCTTGTCAATGCGCTTAATCCAGTCGTGGGTATGTAGTTACATCAATGAATGTGTAACATAATGATGAAAAAAGCACTTATTTTACACAATAAATATTTTTCAACATAATACCCTTCTTTGTCAATGTACTTAATCCAGTCGTGAATATATAGCTAGGTCTGTACCCTAATGATAAAAAGCATTTAATTTACAAAATAATTGTTTATTTTAAACACAATCTTCTTCCCTGTCAATGAACTTAATCCAATTTTGAATATTAATTATATAGACCGAACATTATACAGTGAACATTTTAGAGCAATTTCAGCTAATAATTAAGTCTTACGCTGCAAACGTTCTGATTCATCCTTGTCTCTTATACACTTTTTCTATCCTTTTCTTTCTTTCTTTCTTTCTTTCTTTTTTCTTTCTTTCTTTCTTTCTTTCTTAATCATACACTTCCGTTTCTTTCTTTTTTTTCATTATTGGCTTCTTCTGTCTTTTTTTTTTTTTTCTCTTCTAAATGTTAAAACCATTTGTGTGTCTATCTTTTTCAACATCGACTTCTTCCTGTCATTTTATGTTGTTTTCTTCTTTCTTTCTTTCTTTCTTAATCATACATTTGCGTTTCCTTCTTTTTTCATTATTGGCTACTTCTGTCTTTTTTTAAATTTTTTTTCTTCTAAATCTTAAAACTATTTGCGTATCTATCTTTATCATCGACTTCCATTTTAAAGTTCTTTCTTTCTTTCTTAATCATAAATTTCCGTTTCCTACTTTTTTTATTATTGGCTTCTGTCTTTTTTTTTCTTCTAAATCTTAAAAATCATTTGTGTGTCTATCTTTTTTAACATCGGCTTCCTTACATTTTTAAGTTGTTTTATTCTTTCTTTCTTTCTTTCTTTCTTTCTTTCTTTCTTTCTTTATCATAAACTTCCGTTTCCTACTTTTGTCATTATTTGCTTCTTATGTCTTTTTTTCTTTTTTTTTCTTTTAAATCTTAAAAATCATTTGTGTGTCTATCTTTTTTAACATCGGCTTCCTTACATTTTTAAGTTGCTTTATTCTTTCTTTCTTTCTTTGCTTAATCATACACTTTCGTTTTCTTCTTTTTTCATTATAGTTTTTTCTTTTTTTCTTTTTTCTTCTAAATCTTAAAAACCATTTGTGTCTATCTTTTTTATCATCGGCTTCTTCCATTGTTACGTTCATTTATTCTTTCTTTCTTAAAAATGTTTTTCTTTCTTTCTTTACACTATACTATTACTGCCTTCCTTATATTGTTTGCTAGTTTCTTTTTTTATATATAAATTTCCTTGCTTCCTTCTTAATTTTCGAAACCCCTGGTCACCCTATGTCAGTCGGCTTGTAAACAGGTCGATCTCTCGAGAATCCGTTGAGTTAAACATTCGAGCATGTTTCACTCTCACAAAAATGTCTTTATTATAATTCTTAAGTGCCAAGTTCTTATTGTCCTCTCTCCCCGTGACTTCTTTTGTATGTCTTTCTCTTTCTCTCCTCATTTACATCAGCGTGACAGGCACCCTGGATGCTTCAGCGCCTTGAAATTGTGTTGCCCCACCGCTAGGCTTGCAATGTTAACCGAACGACAAGTAATGCGGGGGGATTGTTTCGTGGGGCCAATGATGACTTTATATTCATTCGATTTCTTCGGGCCCCTTATGGCCAGGTTTTACAAAATAGGCTAAAATAAATAAAAATAAAAAAATAACAGAGAGAGAGAGAGAGAGAGAGAGAGAGAGTGAGAGAGAGAGAGAGAGAGAAGTAATGAAACGAGCGTTAACAAGTACGGAAACGTCAACTATAAGGAATAAGAAAAGAAAAAAAGGAGAAAGAAAGAAGGACATGAAAGAAACGGAAAGAAAGAAAGAAAAGAAAAGAAAAGAAAAGAAAAGAAAAGAAAGGAACGAACAAACAAAGAGTGCGTAGAAAGAAACAAAATGTCAACAGGGATATAGAAAAATAACAAAGAAAGGAAATAAATAAAGAAAACGGTATGTGTAAAGAAAGAAAGAAAACAAAAGAGAAATAGAAAGAAAGAAAGCATCATGAGGACAGAAGAAAAGCATAAAAGAGTGCGTAGAAAGAAAGAAAAGTTACGTGGAAAAACAAGATGTAAAGAGCGAAATAGAAAGAAAAGATCAAAGGGAAAGAAAGAAAGAAAGAAAGAAAGAAAGAAAGAAAGAAAGAAAGAAAACGTCATAAGGAAAGAAGAAAAACGTAAAAGGAATAGTAAAAAGAAAGAAAGAAAAACAAGTAAAAAGACAATCGCATGAGAAAAGAAAGAAAACGTAAAAGGAATATTAGGAAGGAAAAGAGAAAGAAAAAAATAAATAAATAAAGAAAGAAAGAAATAAAAGCCTATGAGGAAAGGACGAAAACATAAAAGAGGAAGTAGAAAGAAATAAAGAAAAGTTATGTGGTAAAAACAAGATGTAATGAGGGAAATGGAAAGAAAATAACTAAGGGAAGAAATAAAGAAAACAGCACAAGGAAAGAAGAAAAGCGTAAAAGGAATAGTAGAAAGAAAGAAAGAAAGAAAGAAAGAAAGAAAGAAAGAAAGAAAGAAAAAGGTAAGAGAAAAGAAGGAAACGTAAAATGAAAAATGGAAAGAAAAAAAGGAAAGAAACGACATAAAGAAAGAAGGAAAACATAAAAGGAATAGTAGAAAGAAAGATGGAAAAAAACCGAAAAATGTCAAAAAAATGCATGAGGAAAAAAGGAAAACGTAAAAGAAATAGTAGAAGGAAAGAAAACGGCTCCGGTAAAGAAAGAAAGAAAGAAAGAAAGAAAGAAAGAAAGAAAGAAAGAAAGAAAGAAAACGGCTTCGGTAAAGAAAGAAAGAAAGAAAGAAAGAAAGAAAGAAAGAAAGAAAGAAAGAAATTAGAAAGAAAGAAAACGGCTTCGGTAAAGAAAGAAAGAAAGAAAGAAAGAAAGAAAGAAAACGGCATGAGTATAAAAAGAAAAACGTAAAAGGACAAGCAAAAAGAAAGAAAGAAAGAATGAAGGAAAGAAATGAAAACGTCAGTAAAAAGAAAAGAAGAAAGAAAAATTAATTAGAGAAAGAAAAAAGACAAGAAAAAAATAAAGAAAAATGAAAGATAGTACTAAAAAGATAAAGACAATTCAGAAATATAAATAACGATGAAAAGAAAAAAAAAGAAAGCAAGAAAGAATACGAAATAGATTTAAATGAAAATATAAAAAAAATGAAAAAAATATTAAAATCGAAAAGGGAAATATAACAGAAAGAAAAGAAAGAATGATGAATGAAAATGTTCATAAGAAAAACATAAAATAAGAAACTAAAGAATAATCTACTAGAAAATAAATAAAATTAAATAACCAGAAATAGAAAGTGAAAGTTTATATTGTATTTCTTTTGCATTTAAAATGTGTTTTTTTAGAGATTTTTATTGGCGTTTTTTTTATTGATCGCTCGTCTACAACAACAGTGGTTTACAAACTTCAAGTTAACCACATTTTACAAGTTACCTCGCGGTAATCTGAAATTGATTTCCTGTTACCCCGTAGGTAGGTTGAACCTGATTTCATGTCATCCTTGTACAGTTATTCAACCTCATTGCTAATGTTGTTAAAATGATAAATTCTTCGGCTTCGTTTATAGAATAAAGGATGTGTACTCAACATCTCAAATTTGTCTCAGATTGCGGAAAAATTCAAAAAATGTGACAAAAATATTAGTCATATTATCAGGTCATCCCATAAGTTCTGCCTGAATTTTAACTTTTTGTTAAAATGAACGAAATTTAATGTGTATTTTATAATGCCTAATGGAGCTGAACATTATTTTTATGTTTAGATGCATTTAAACTGATCAAATTTTATTTCAGAGAACAATAAAATTAAATTTTGTTTGATTAAAACCCTGCTAACATGGAAGTACCCAAGAATCATTTGAGGCACATAATGCTTTATGAGTTCAAGAAAGGAAACTCAGCAGCCGAAGCGGCTAGAAACATTGCCTCAGTTTATGGAGAGGAATGTGTGAATGAAAGAACTTGCAGAAGATGGTTTGCAAAATTCAGAGGTGGAGATTTCACCCTTGAAGATGAAGATCGAACCGGACGTCCAGTTGAGTTTGATGAAAAGCTTCTTGAAGCAGCACTTGAAGAAAATCCTGCTTTATCAGTTGAGGAATTGGCAGTGGTTCTCAGTTCAAAACATACAACTGTTCATCGTCATCTTCAACAACTTGGAAAAGTTCCTAAACTTGGAAAATGGGTGCCTCATGAATTGTCTGAAAACAAACCCAAATCCCGAGTTGACATCTGCTCTTCTCTCCATTCTAGCCAACTTGTTTCACCTTTTTTGGAGAGACTTGTGACTGGCGACGAAAAATGGATTTTTTTATCGAAATGTTAAGCGTCGTAGACAGTGGCTTGGTAAAGGTGAAGGACCCCAGCCACATCTGTGAAGGGAACTTCATGGGCAAAAGGTTCTTCTTTCAATCTGGTAGGATCGCCAAGGAATAATCCACTTGGAATTCTTACCACCTAATGCAACAATTAATGCTCAAATATACTGTCAGCAATTAGAGCGTTTGAAACAAGCTTTGAGGTAAAAAAGACCTCCTCTAGTGAATTGAAAAGGGGTGATCTTTCATCAGGACAATGCGCAACCCCACACAGCAAGAATCACGTCACAAAAGATCGAAGAACTTGGTTGGGAGAAAATTCCTCATCCAGCTTATTCTCCCGATCTTGCTCCTTCAGACTACCATTTGTTTCGTAGCTTACAGAATCATTTGGAAGAAACAGCTTTTGTAACACAGGAAGAGTTTAAAACTGACATTTGTGAGTTCTTCGAATCAAAGTCAAAATAATTTTACAGTAATGGAATTAGTAAGCTTGTTAATAGATGGAAGGAACGCAAAGATAATCAGGGAAAATACATTGTTGATTGAATCTGTAATTAAATGTAACATTTGGTCACTTGTTTTCTTTATTCAAAATTCGGACAGAACTTATGGGATGACCTGATAAAAAAATTTACATACGAACGTATGACAGGCAAATATTCATTCTAATGTGAGAAACAGAAAAATCGCATTCTTGGTTTGAGTCAAGAATACGATAACTACACCCCATGCAGAAATTTTATTTTGAAGCTTTTCACCCCAAGCAAGGCGGGAGTGCCACTAGCACGCAGTGGGGTTACAGAGAGTGGGAGCAAGAGTAAAAAGGCGTGATAGAGGAAAGGATAAAGAGAAGGATGGGAAATAGATCAAGGCATCTGGAGAAGTGGATTGACATTGGATTTGAATAATTGAAGATTATAGCTACCAGGGAAGCAAGCAAGAGAAATGGAGTTCCACTGACGGTAAGGGCAAATGAAGCTGTTGGAGTAGAAGAGAGGGTTACATTTAACCGTTTCGACAGTGTGGGACCGAGATGCCAACCTAGTAGCACGTTTAAATTCTTGCAATTTGGGAGTCAGCGAAAGTAGCTCGCCGGAACAGTTGCTGTGAAAATACTTATAGAAGAGACAGAGGGAGACCACGACACGTCTGTGAGAAAGTGATTGTAGACGAGATGCCAGATCAGGACCCATCATAGTGCATATCCGTCTATGGATTTTGTTTCGTAGAGGACCTTGAGACGAACAGTTCGGGCTCCAGACAATATATGGCAGCAGTATTCCATGCAAGGGCGAATGGTTTATAAAAATAATCCAGAAGAGTCAACCAATTTACTGTATTTATATCTAGCGTTTTTGATGCATGTACAAACTAAATTAATGTCTACTTGTGCAAATCAAACCAATGTCTACAATTTTGACTCTTGCGCAAACCAAACAGACATCTACCTTTCTGACTCTCGTGCTAATCAAAGGTGTGTCTGCCTTTTTGACGCTGGTGCAAAATAAACATATGCCTGCCTTTTTGACTCGTGCAAGCTAAATCTGTGTCTACTTTTTTTTTTATCTCTCATGCAAATTAAACCTAAGTCAACCTTTCCGACACTCGTGAAAACCCAACCTCCGACTATTTTTTGATTCTTGTGCAACTCAAATATATATATATATATATATATATATATAAATGAAAAAATCTACGTATACATTTTTGGCAGGTTTGGGTTATAATCTCGAATTTTAAAATCCCGTATGTTGAAATACTGAAATTTAAAATTCCCGAGATTTGAAATCCCGAATTTATCAAAATCCCGAAAGATCAAAATCTTGAAATCTAAAATTCTGGAAGATCAGAATCTCGAAAAATAGTCTTTCACTGCCATACATTTCAGTCTGCTTTTCTTTGTTTCTAACGAAATTTCTTAATACTTTGCTTGGTTTTTAGAAAGCATCTTCCAGTTACCCATCGGATGTCGGTGTTGCACTTTCCATCCACAGCTATCTCTCAGATATTTATATTTTCGTACTTGCTTGATTTTGGTATTTCCAATATCGAATTTGTATATTGGACTGACAACCATACATTGAATTAACGTATAATCCTTTTTTATCGCTTTCCTTCACTAACTTCTGTAGTGATTTTCCAATCGTGGCTCAGATGTGGCACAAGGCCGAAATCATGGGGCACCTAGTGAGGATCGAACTCACTATTCAGTCATAATAGTTCTAGCGAGACAAGCTTGCTAGCCATTACACCACATCGTGGTGCCCCTTTACTACATTCTGTAGGAGTCTCCGTAGATTCATTTTCATGTCTGCTATCAACACTGTGTTATCTGCATAACTTATGTTGTTAAGATTGTGGCCGCCAATAATGAATCCTTGTAGGACTTCTAATTCTCTCAGAATCACCTCACTATATAGGTTGAATAAGTCTGTTGAGTTAGTTACTACGACTGAGCGATTTGTTTTTTACAGTTTATCAACCATTTGCAGGTTATCTAAAGCCAGAAAATATTCTTAGATTGTAAGAATTTTTGAGATAATGATTTACTGATACAAATTCTACTAATTAACCCATAGCTGGGGGAAATAGACGGATTCTTATTTATCTTAAGGTAAGTAAATATAATGAACCTGACTGGAATTGGAGCTCGGTTTCTTGATGTTTAATTTTGATCTGTTATCAGTTACATCAACCTCACATTCAAGGCCCTGATATTCTCAAGCAGTCACTCATCTAGATACTGACCGATCTCGATATTGCTTAATTGCGGTAACCGTATGATAATCGGTGTTTCAAGCTGATATGGCCTTAAGTATTTTTTACTATTATATTATAGATAATATATTACTTATCAATATTAGATTACTAATGTACTACCATACTGATATGTCCCGGAAACGGATATATTTGATCGAAATTAGCTACTATAAACAAGTAGTACACAGTAGCAGTAATCGACTGGTACTCGTCGTAGTCGCGGGTAATAGGTGTTGACCAATAGGATAGCCAATAGCGTAGTCCAATGGGCGTCGTCATAGACTTAAACTCTGTTGTACCTACATGTCCGTCTGTATTTATGACGGACACCAGCCAATCATATTCCAATGAGGGGGAACACAGGTGTATGCATATTCCATTTTATCACATACTATAAATAAGGATAATATTTTTTACTGTCAGTAACATTGATTTCATTTTTCCTTATTTTTACTGCATTATATTTAAAAACAAATTCAATCTTCATGCCAATACTGATCTGCAAAATAAAACTATCGACTTGACTTCATCATATCTGCATATGATTTTTTTCAGGATTTAAAAGAATGATTTCAAACCAAATTAAAGTCTACCTCATATCACCAGAAAGTCTTTTGTTTTAAACCTTTCATCCAGGTGAAGTACTGTAGAAATATGTTTTCCCTTTCGATGCGTCATTCAAACGAGCCAGTTGCTCACTCATAATACGCACTTGTTTGGTGATCAAACCCTATAAATTGCCCCTCTACGATTTCTTTACGACCAGCGTTTCCTACTCTTATTTAAAAAAAAATGTTTTTAAACAGAATA